GGATCGCAACCCTCAGTGTCGCCCCCGTACCGGACCGGGACCGGCAACGGCTTTGATTTTTGACAACTAAATTATTATGCTTCTCAGTGTATACTGCTTTGAGTTCGATATGTTTGGGATCAATTTATGAAGATTATACAGCAATTGTAAATATAGACACACCCAACACTGAAGTACCCAGATATATAAAGCAAATTTTATTGAATCTAAAGGGAGAAATAGATCCCAGTAAAGTAATAGTTGGGGACTTAAACAGTCTTCTCTCAGCATTGAACAAATCATCTAGACAAAAAAAAACAACAAAGAAATATTGGATTTAAACTGCACTATAGACCAAATTAACTTAAATATTTAAAGAACATTTCATCCAACAATTGCAGAAAATACATCCTCATTCTTAGCACATGGATCATTTTCCATGACAGACCATATGTTAGACCACAAATTAAGTCTCAACAAATTAAAAAAAAAACCCTAAAATCATATCAAGTGACTTTTTATACCATAAGGGAATAAGACTAGAAATTAATAACAAGTGAAACTTTGAAAACAGTACAAATACATAGAAATTAAACAACATTTTCTTGAGCAACCCATGGGTCAAAGAAAAATTAAGCAGAAAAAAACAGAAATACATCTTATCAACATTTATCTTATCAACATTTTGTACTGCAAAATCAATATGAAGAGGGAAGTTTGTTGCAATAAGTGCTTACATCAAAAAAGTAGAAAAATTTTAAATAAACATCTAACATTGCACTTCAAGGAACTAGAAAATCAAGAACCACCCCATATCCATATTAGTAGACAATAAAAGTAGTAAAGATTAGAGCAGAACCAAATGAAATAGAGACACACACACACAAAGACTCAAAACAAATTGATAAAAAGTTTTTTTTTTTTAGTTTATTTTTTGAAAAGATCGACAAAATTAACAAACCATTATCTAGACTGGGAATAAAAGAGAGAATACTCAAATAATGAATACCAGAAATGAAAAAAGAAACTTACAACTGATACCATGGAAATGCACAGATTCAATAGAGACTGTTATGAACAACTTTACAAAAAAATTGGAAAATCTGAAGAAAATATATGAATTTCTAGATGCATGAAACTTCAATAATGAGTCATACGATTGAATCACTAATCAGCAATCTCCCAACAAAGAAAAACCCAGGACCAGATGCTTCACTGCTGAATTTTACCAAACTTCTAACAAAGTATTAATACCAATACTTTTTAAAGTATTTTAAAAAATTGAGGGATAGGGTATTCTCCCAAACTCATTGAATGAGGCCAACATCACCCTGAAACCTAAATCACATGAGGATGCAATATAAAAAGAAAATTATTGGTCAATATCCCTGATGAACATGAATGCAAATATTCTCAACAAAATACTATCAAGCCAAATTCAACAGCACATCAAAAAGATCATACAGCATGATCAAGTGTGGTTTATCCCTGGGAAGCAAGAATGGTTTAACATATGCAAATCACTAAATATGATGAACCAAATCCACAAAATAGGTGACAAAATCCATATGATCATCTCAAACGATGCATAAAAAGTATTTCATAAAATTCAACACCACTTTATGATAAAACTCTCAATACATTAGGTATAGAAGGAAAGCATGTCAACATAGTAAAGCCCACACATAAGAAACCCACAACTAACATCATATTGAATGGGGAAAAGTTGAAAGTATTACCTCTACTAATGGGAATGAGACAAGGATGCCCACTTTTGCCACTCCTATTTAACATAGTACTGGATGTTCTAGCCAGAGCAATTAGGCCAGAGAAAGAAATAAAGGCCATACAAATTGGAAAAGAGAAGGTCAATTTGTCCCTGCTTGCAGGTGACATGATCTTATATACAGAAAAACCTACAATCTCCACAAAAACATTCTTAGAACTAATTAACAAAGTCAGTAAATTTGCAGGACAGAAAATCAATATACAAAAATTAGTAATGTTTCTATATACCTAACAACAAACTAGCAGAAAAAGAAATTAAGTAATCCCATTATAATAGCTAGCCCAAAATTAAAATTCCTATAAAATTTAACTAAGGAGGCAACAGATTTATACAGTGAAAACCACAGATCTGATGAAAAGAAATGAAAGAGAACACACAAAAATTGGAAAGACATCCATATTCTTGGATTGGAAGAATTAATTGTCAAAATGACTATACTACCCACAGTGATCTGTAGATTCAACGCAATCCCTATCGAAATACCAATGATGTACTTCATGGAAACAGAAAATACAATGCTGAAGTTTATGTAAAATCACAAAAGACCTCAAGTAGCCAAAGCAATACTGAGGAAAAGAGTAAAGCTGGTGGCGTCACACTACCTAACTTCAAAATGTATTACAAAGATACAGTAACCAAATAGCATAGTATTGGCATAAAAACAGACACAAGGACCAAAAGAACAGAATAGAAAACCCAGAAATAAATCCACATATTTATAGCCAATTGGTCTTTGACAAAAGTGCCAAGAATATAAATTGGAGAAAGGATAGTATCTTTAATAAATAGTGCCGGGAAAACTGGATATCCATGTGAAGAAGAATGAAACTATACCCTTCTCTTTCAGCATTTACCAAAATCCACTGAATAGGGATGATACACTTAAATTGTAAGACCTGAAACTATAAAACTACTAGAAAACAACATGGGGAAACAACCAAAGACATTGGTCAGAGCTAAAATTTTATGGAGAAGCCTTCTAAAGCACAGGCAACAAAAGCAATAATGGACAAATAAGATTACATTAAACTAAAAAGCCTCTGCACAACAAAAGAAACCATCAACAGACCAAAGAGGTAACCAGCAGAATGGGAGAAAATAATTTGCAAAGTATTTATATGACAAGGGATTAATATTCAGAATATACAAGGAACTTAAACAGCTCAACAGCCAAAATAATAACAACAACAAAAACAACAAAAAACCCAAATAATTTGATTTAAAAAATGGGTGAATAACCTTAATAAACATTTCTCAAAAGAAGACATACAACTGACCAAAAGGTATATTAAAAAATGCTCAACATCACTGATTATTAGGTAAATGCAAATCAAAACCACAGTGACCCCAGTTAGAATGGTGATTATGAAAAGGCAAAAAATAACAAATGCTGGTGAGAGTGCAGAGAAAGGGTAACTCTTCCACACTTTCAGTGGGAATGTAAATTAGTACAACCATTATCGAAGACTGCATGGAAGTTCCTCCAAAAACTAAAAATAAAACTTCCATATGATCCAGCAGTCCCACTGCTGGGTATTTACCCAAAGGAAAGGAAATTAGCATAGTGAAGAGGTATGTGCACTCTCATGTTTATTGCAGCAGTATCCACAGTAGCCAAAATATGGAATGAACCTACGTGTCTATTGACAGATGAATGGATAAAGAAAATATACATATGGAATGGAATACTACTCAGACACGAAAAATAATATTATCCTGTCATTTTAGGCAATGTGATGAGTCTGGAAGAAATTATGTTAAGTTAAATAAGTCAAGCACGGAAAAATAAATATGGCATGTTCTCACTCACATGTGGGAACAAAAAAATAATAACAATAAGTTGAACATTTAGAAGCAGAAGGTAGAACTGTGGTTACTAGAGTCTAAGAAGGGGAGAAAGTGGGGATAGGGAGAGGTTGGTTAATGGATGCAAAACTACACCTAGATGAGAAAAATAAGTTCTAGTGGTGGTCAGTAGTAGTAGGTATCCATAATGACCAATAATTTATTGTATGTTTTCAAATGGCTAGAAGAAAAGAGCTTCAATGTTCTGACCAGAAAGAAATGATAAATATTTGCACTGGATCTGGGTCATGAGGCCACTTCTGAGTTCCCTGTCAAATTCACAGATGGTGAGCATGTTACCAAGGGCGTGAATTGGTGTGGCTCTAAGTCCCTAGGTGAGTTGCTAGACTTTCTCTGGACTCTGATAGAATGGGATGGAGACTAGGTCACTGGTCCACTTCAGAATCTGCAGCTGGGTCTGAGATCAGTGGACCTATTACCATGGCCACAATAGGCATGTCTCCTTATGAGTCCCTGGGTATGTGGTTTTATCCCCGTATCACGTCAGAGTGGTATTGAAACTGAGTCACAGAGCAGCTCCATTGTCCACAGCCAAGACCTAGTTTGGTGTTTCTTTTACTGAGGCACAGATGGGTGTATCTCCCACTAAGTCACAGCATGGGCATGACTTCCCCAGATAGTCGTAGTATGGAGCTAGAGCTGGGTCACAGGGTTGCTACAGTGTCCACAGTTGAGAACATGGTTAGCAGGCCTGACACCAGTGTTATGAAGGTGGGTTTTCCTGCTGGGTCTCTGGATAGGCAGCACTGTCCCCAGACTTCTGTAGAGCAGGGCTGGAGCAAGGTCACAGGGCTGCTTCAGGATCCCAGCTGAGTCCAAGGGTGGCAGGACTTTTATAATGGGCACAGGCGGGTATAGCTTCTCCTGTGTCCATAGTCAAGTGGAGCTGGTGGCAGGACCACAGCCAAGCAGGGTGAACCAAGTCCATGAGGAGACTGGGCTGCTTCTAGTCTACAACGCAGACCATGGTCGCAAAGCTGGCACCTGGGTGTTTGCCTTACTTCTCAAAGCAGCTCTCCTCAGCCTTAGGCTCCACCAGGGTTTTATAACTCCTACCAGATCCAAAAACTCCCACAAAGGCATTTTTATTCATGGATGGTTGCTAAATTGTTGTTTTTGTAGGGAGACATGAGCTAGGAACCTCCTATTCTGCCATTTTGCTGACATCCCTTCTACTTGCTGTTTAATGACCAAATATGTTATTTTGTTTAAAATGATTATGCATGGATGGACCAATGTTCCTGTAATTGGATAACCACCTTTTATCATGTAAATAATAACAATATGCATTTTTACTAACACTAAGCACCCATAATAATAATTTAAAAGATTACAGCACTTTAGAATAGAAAACTTCCTTGGAAAGTACAGTTCAATCCTTTATTTAAATAAGTGCAGGGAGCTCAGGCCCGGAAAGGGTTGGGGAATTTTCCAAGGTCACACAACTGGTAAACAGCAGAGCAAGGACTCAACTTGGGTCCCTTGACTTTCCAAACATACTCTTTGTCCCTCTAAAGGAAAACCGCCTTTCCAACTGAAATGAAATATAAAATAAAATGAGAGGGTTCAGCATTTTGAAACACATAATGCTCTTTTAAATACACTATGACATTGCTGTCCTCAGGAAATTAGAAAGCAATTTGGAGAAATAAAATGGGTCAAATGAGCTGTCACTGAAACAAAGGCTGTGGATCAGCCAGTAAATCAGTAACTGCTTCCTGTGCTTGAGATTTTCAGGCCCATGGGGTGGGAGGTAAACCACCAAATAAATTTAAAAGGATTTCCACTGAGTGTTTTTTGTGAAATTCTGAAGACATTTATACTACACTCTCTACACCCTTAATTTCCTGTGCAAAAATAGAATGGCATTCAATGGTCTCACGTTTTAAGAGGGTTATTTTTTTTTTACCATCTTTTAAAAAATGCTATAAAGCACTTTAGTGGAGGGGGAGCTAATTCTCTCAGCAGAATTCAGAGACTCAGGTATTTTTCTAATGAACACTAAAATTTTCTTGTTTTGCCTCATCTTATTGATGACTGACTTCCATTTCTTTTCTTCCTCTGAGGATTCCAAGGAATAAAATTAACCAGTAGCTTCATTTTGACTTGTGCTTCATGTGCAATTTTATTGGCTTTTTTTTTTTTTTTTTGGGCGGGCTGGTAAGGGGAACTGAACCCTTGATTTTGGTATTAGAAGTCTGCACTCTAACCAACTGAGCTAACTGGCCAGCACCCCATATGCAATTTTAAAGACAGTTTTACACACATTATTTAGCCCCCTGAATGCTCAGAGGTCAAATCAGTACTTACACAGACATTCTAAATGGAAGTGAGTATCCAGTTGTTCATTCGTGATTCGTTTGATAGAATAGCAACTCTCCAAATCATCTCAGAGCAGCAGGAGCCTGGAAAATCAACAGCCACCATTGATTTCTTCAGTCACTTGATTTTAGCAATTGGACTTCGATTGCATGAAAACTCAGAAAAGAAAGGCCTTTTGTGCTGTTTTAGTCAGTCTCATCTGTACTAATCAATGGGAATTGTGCATTGGTCTATGGATATTATTTTGACTTTGGCTGACTATGTTTCCAATTAGGTTGTAGGTTCCTGAAAAGGTTATTTTGAATTTGAATCTTCACTGAGCCTAGTTAGGTGCTGTGAATCTTGAATTCAAATTTAGTACACCTTGAGTTCCAATAGCTAACAGATAGTGATGGTGAGATTGCTGTTAATTCTGTCTTATATGGTTTCCAGAGTTACTTTGTGTAATATCTAAATAACTGAGCATTTCACTATTACCCACCACTGTTACACTTTCCTCTGTGTAACCAAGACAGAAAGAAGAGAAAGAAAGAATTCACTCAAAGTACCATCAATGAGGCCTGGAGGGACTGCCACCCATCAGGGGAGCAGCAGCCCCTGGAGGGACTGCCACCCATCAGGGGAGCAGCCCCTATACAAAATCAGCCTTTCTTTTTATTGACAAGACAAGTTTCACAAGAAAAATCAGTTGATTCAATCATCAAAGAAGGACATAAAAACAGGCAGTA